AAGATTCTTTAATAGTTGTGTTATTCGAACGAGTACTCCGCTTTATTGGTTGGTTATAAATCAATAAACACTGTCACTTGACAGAACAACGTTTTATTATTCAAAGATAAATGTACTTCTAAAAATTCTGGTCGCAGTTCCACCACAGTTTCGCAGTAACGGAGATATTTTTCTTGGGATGTCTGTAGGATTGGCGCATAAAATAGTGAATCGCGCGTTAAAGCAAATATATTGAATTTATTTGTCGATCTGCGTAGTCATAAAATATATCGATCGATATTAATAACATTGAAATGTATTCTTAACGATTGCACAATAATAAGTCGGGGAGGTGGTGAAATCGGATGTAAATTCGTAATTGTAGATACCTGAAGCGCGCGCGATATTATATGCCTCGATAGGAGTAACATCTTTTAGGGTGAAAATAAATGCAGAACGCGTGAAATTATATTAACCTCAAGTCTTTTCAGTCCTTCAAACAGAACGTACTGAAATCTCACGAATTTCAAGTCGAACGAAATCTTCGCAAAAGGAAACATCGGAAACAGTACGATTATTTACGTTCGTACAAAAATAGTTAATAGTTAATATTCCATCGGTCATTAGATTGTCGTTATCCACAAAAGAATCGATACTGCAAGAATAGAGATACAGACAAAGAGAGAGTGAGTGAAAGGGGTAAGAACAGAGGGAGAAACAGACAAGTGAAGAGAAAGCAACGAAAGACAGTTCGACGGCGAAGAAGGAATGTTTTGAACATAGCACCACGTTATATCCTTATCACTATTCACGTACAAGCTAAAAAACCGTATTTACTATGGCAGGTAATCGTACACGCGTGCACATGTAACCCGTCTCCAAAAGGTAAGTGAACCGAATGAGGAAGAAAAGAAAACGTCGGGAGGACGTGGGGGGGGGGGGAGAGGAGATAGGTCTGAAATGGATTCACCAGCGGCGTGTTGCGACGAATTACCTCCGATTTCGAAGCTTACGCGCTAATTGATGGTTGACAAATGACCAATTGATTAAACTGGAACCCGGGACTGCGCTCTATGTGTAACGATGCACACGCGTGTATACGCACTTACAGAAACGTTTACCGGTATGCGCGTATACTGTGAAGACACGCGTATATTGTAACTTCGTCTCTACGAATAAGTAAGGCGTAACGTAGCCAGTACGACGCCCGTTGCTGTTAACGTGGCTGTTATTGCGTAACGCACTATAGTTGAGCTACCGTCGGCCGTCCCTACGTTACGAACCGACCACCCTATGGATAGGTAATTCACGACCGAGAGGAAAGGGTCGTTGGGTGCACCTGTACACGTGTGACCATGCGTGCAGACAACGCAAACGAATCTTTTCGGTTGCATAAGTGCAGGCGCGAGCCGCGCGCATTCACACACACATACACACGTGTACACGGTCCTTCTTTTAAATTTTTAATTCGTTAAATACATCTATCGAGAGTTGCGGCGAGCGAGGCGCCCGCTCTCCATACACGTCGGCTCTAGCAGCCGACCTGGTGAAGTATCGAGGCGAGCCGGAACACACGCATCCAGGCGAACATCCCCGTCGACGGTGAACGACAGATCGCGCTCCTCGCCGACGAGCTTGACAAATTTTTGCACTCCGTCGATGTCGAGTGACGCCGCGTTGCTCGATTCGGTGTGGCCGCGTCGATCGAGCAAACGTCGCTCTCCGACTTCCTTTCCTTTTGCTGCTGCTGTTGCGGCGAGTACTTCATCACTGCATCATCATTGGAACAATTAATCAGCATTGCGGTTTCGCACAGTTTCCCTCTTAATTTCACGACACGACGGTGTGATGTAACTATGGGAATCATGCGCGCGCGCGCGAGTTTCATGCAGAAATTCTACTATATAGGCGGAAGTGCCGCGACAAGGAAGCGTTTCATTCGTTTCAGCTTGAAAGAGCTACGCTACGCGTGCTAATTATTGTAATTTATCCGAGATTTCCTTTCATCGCGTGTTTCAACTACCTTTTAAACTTAATTGATCGGCACTCGCGTAGGTCTGGAACGTGGATCTAGTTCGTTCGATGATATAGAATTCAATTAGTTGTAATTTATAAGATTTGCTACGTGACCTGAAGATAAACTAAGCTCTATGCACGCCAACTTTGTTCCCGAGATAGTTCGGTAAAATAAATTTAGCTAATAAATTACACCTTCTTAATTATTAATAAAGCAAAATGAGATTAATAAATGATAGAGAAAACTTCTGTATCTTAGCTATCGTTAAAAATATTTAACAGAAGTCGCCAAGCTCGACTAACGATTTTATGACCGAGGAGTGTAAACTGACCATAGTATGGTTAAGTAATGAGATTTTCCTGTATGTCACTGCACTACTTCTTTTCTCACGACCAACAGTGAAATTCCTTTCACTGGCAAATCCTCTTTTGTTTAAGAAAGCCGTTTTACGCAACGGAGAGAGCGTTGCGGTCGTACAGACGTGCCGCGCGCAACGAAAACGAAAGTAAACTCTTATCGTAAATCTATATATTTTACACGATAAAAGTTGCTCGCGGACTGGAGAAAGATGCAGCTTCAAAATTTCACGGCTTTTCACGCAAATGTCATATCAGCCTTGACTATGTTTGTTCACGTTAAACTCTCACTCGGTCATGGTCAAAGATCCATTTACACGTACATTGCAAAGTGCGCTGACTATAACAGTTGATTGACAATACATGGATCGCGTTAAAAGTGAAGATCTCGTTTCTATGACATCGACTAGACAACAGAAAATGAAAGTAGATGACACAATCGTTTCGACAAAGTTTTAACAAAGTTCTATTTTCGGACCGGAACTTTTATCTGTGTTGTGTATAATGCAATTGTTCCGTTTCATTATACTTTTTTGTGTTAGGAGAAGAAGCGTGGATACTTTTACAGTTATGATCATGGTACATAATCTACTATATGTAAATGAAATACGTATGGCCTATATTTCTATAAATATGGAACATCACTTACAAATGTATGTGCATGTACGTGTAATCAGCGATTGATTAAGAAAGAAGTTTTGTAGGTTTATCAGTATCCGCGTTTCGAGGACTCTTTTTTTTCCGGGATTTCAAGAGTAGGTGTATAGTGGGCGTTTCAAATGTGTTCTGCTTTTGATGTGAGGCGCACGCGCCTCTTTCGGTCAGCTGATTCCCTAGACCTACTTTTTGTCCGATGATGCAGGCTACAAATAGGTATAGTCACGGACACTCGTGTGTGTGTGTGTAAATCGACGGTACGTGCTTCTTGTTCCACTGTGTACGTATGTGTACCTACATACTTTAGGAAACACTGTATGCCCTAAATCATGCTCTTTGCTCGAGGCCATCGTCAGCCACTCGAAAGAGTGAAAATATAAAATGCGCTTTGCTCTGTAATAGCAAAGTTTTCCGGGCATCACGCAGAGTTTTCACAAACTAGAAATTGCTTGAATTTTGATTAATTGAAAGTAACTTATTGAATGAACAAACGGATGCTAAACGAAACAATTTACTAAATAAAAAAATAGACTGTACTTAGCGTTAAATAAGTGAAAAAACAGTTCTGAGTCTGAAGATGTGCAATGTATATTATTATTCTTACATTCTTACATATATTCACGTGCGTGTATTAAAATTTCAATTAATAATAACTAAAACAATATTAAAGATATTATAGGAACTACACGAGAAAGATAAATTGTATTTCATAAATTTCAAATTACAATAGGTTTTCATTGCCGTTATTATTTAAAAGACACCGTTACTTGGATGAATAAATCATTGATGAATAAATCTATGAACAGAATAGTCACGCAATGGTTACGGCACTATTCTTCTAATGAGGATTAAATAAGCAAAATTTAAGAGCGAAAATTTTTTAAGCTAGGAAAAAAAATAAATAAATGTCGAAATCGCGATTTTTCTACAATGCTTGTATATTTGGAAGAGTCCAAGCAAGGTTTTCAATGATCCATGTTTGCATGTGCTTCGCGCTACGGCGCGCGATCGTTTTGCACGATTATTTCGTAAGAAATGTCTTCGTGTATCCTGTGTAAAAGCGCGGCAATTTAATTGCCGCTGGCACTGC